GACATACAAATTATTGCTGTCATAAGAGTTTTAGGATACAGATAAGGCCAAGGTTTCATGTAATCTCTATTTTAAATTATTAACTAATATTTGCCTTTTTCTTCTCAGTATATTTTGTCTTTGACATTAAAACAAAGGAAACCTGGTAGAGCACTGATTAAGTGCTTGGCTGCTAACCCAAAGGTTGGCAGTTTAAACTCACCAGGCACTCCTTGGGAGAAAGATGTGGCAGTCTGCTTGTGTAAAGATTTATAGCCTTGGAAACCCTATGGGGTAGTTCTACTCTGTCTTACAGGGTCGCGAAGAGTCGTAATTGACTCGATGGTCGTGGGTTTGGTTTGGTTTTGTGTTCGATATTAAGACAAATCACTTTACCAATACATTTTAAAGTTCTATAATTAAAACAGAACCTGGGAATTTATGATTTTGCATGTATTTTACTTTAACTGGTTCTTGTGCTTGGAGTCCCTGGGTGGCCCAAATGGCTAAGCACTCTACTACTAGCCGAAAGATTGGCAGTTCGAACCCACCTAGAGGCGCCTCAGAAGACGAGCCTGGCAATCTGCTTCTGAGAAATAACAGCCTTGAAAACCCTATGGAGCAATTCTACTTTGCACATGGCTCACCATGAGCTGGAATTGACTAGATGACAACCAACAACAACAACCCACTTACGGTGAGTCATACGGGATTCCTGTCGATTATTTTTTAGTGTCCTCAAGACAAGCAAATAACAAATACAATAAAAAATAAACTTCTCGGGAAAAAAAAAGGTAAATTCTCTTTTTGGGGAATTGAGTTCTCATAATTCAGTGACTTCTGCCGCTATTGTGTGTGTGTGTGTGTGTGTGTTTGCCACTTGGCCAATTTCCACTTCGGGGTTATATTAATGGCTAGTTTCCACTTTCTGTAAAATGAATTCAGCCACTTATGGCATCAGTTAGGATAGCTGGCCACATACAATTAACTGAAACAATTTGATACTTTTTATTGTATAGCAACTTGTATTTAGAGACAAAGAGAAGCTGAGAATTAAGTCATGTAAAGCGAATCACACTTTCACCAAATAGTCAGATAATGTAGGGATTTCCTTTTTTTTTTCTTTTGATTATTTACTTCAGTTCTCTATGTAAAACATGGCTTCAATGGGGAGAGCCACTGGATGTTTAATGAAAGGACATTTTTCAATTGAAGAAGTCGTACTCTTTTATTTTAATTATTAATTATTTTGCTTGTTTAATCAATTCTGAAATCTTTTCAAGTGTTCATTAATAGCTTCAGGAACACAATTTCAAAACATCGAGGAGGAAGCATATGTACCACAGTGTTACTAGGAAGCCCTGCCCTCTCTTATCTATGTACCAATCTAGTACTAATTTAAACTCATAAACTCTGAAAAAAATACGCCTTCTGAATCACCGCTGAAAACTTGCCCTCACATTTCTCGTCAAGTGACTGCTAAATTACAGCATTGTGGCATAATTGCTTGATGAAAATGCAGAGTAACAAAATAATTGACTTGGGTGTGGGGCAAATTGCTTAATAAACACCAATAGCCTAAAAGAGTTTTCCTATAGACAACCCTTCACGACGTTAGGGGAACTTACAGTACTTCTTTGTTTTCACTCTTTAGAATTTGGAGGATCTCTTCTTTCTTTGCTGTCCTGAGGTGATGAATGAAGGCCAGGAAGCTTCTGACTGCCTCAGCCTTGGAGAGGTTTTCAGGGAGTAGGTGCTTTCTGGTGGACTGCCAACGCTCCAAGAGCTGTAAAACAGGGCTGCCGCTCACACCCCATTTGTAATTCTGAACATCCACATTTATAAAGGCTGTGCTCCCTAGAACCAAAGCTTTCCTTATATCTGACAAGCAACAAAGGTTTTTTGAATCTTACCTCAATAAACCTGATCCTTCCCAGCCCCAGTCATATCACCTCTGTGACTGTCAGAGGCATATATAGACCTTGTACACAGCTCATCTGTAGGTGCACCGTGTTTACCTATTACTATTTAGCTCAGACGATAGTTAACTGGTTTTGGGTATATAGGTCATGTTATGGTAACACCAGAAACCCTGGTGGCATAGTGGTTAAGAGCTAAGGCTGCTAACCAAAAGGTCAGCAGTTCGAATCCACCAGGTGCTCCTTGGAAACCCTCTGAGGCAGTTCTACTCTGTCCTATAGGGTCGCTATGAGTCGGAATTGACTCAACGGTAACGAGTATGGTAACACCAGGGAATTATGTCTGGGGCCAGGCTTTGACTACCACAGTGTACTTGTGCAGAATTTCAATGAACAGCCGGGTATCTTGGGGGGAAAAATTCTTGCTGAAAAATTGCCTCAGGTTTCTAACTTACCTGTACCTCACTGAAAACGAGTTTGTTATAATTTGAGTTCTCTATCCTATCTCTTGATTTTATTTTTTCTATGAAATATAAGACTTTACTATTGCTGAAGTATGAATTGTTCATTACTTACATAATATCTGTCAAGTAGGATCTCAGAAGAGTGTTGAGATAAAGGTAATTCTCACACACACAATTCTTATTCTACTGTTATCTTAAAAATAGTAAATAATTCTACTTAATGACCTCTTGGCTTGAAAAATGCTAAAGAACTTATTTTCATAGTTAATCATTTTTTCCCTAGTTGTAAAGAACATCAGTGACCTCCAACTCTCTGTTTTTTTAAATTATTTTTTAAAGTACTCATTCCTCCTAATAATTCACAGACATTTATTTTTCTCTTTTCCAAATTCCCCTTGTTGCTAATCTTAAGAGGTTATTGCAAAGCAAAATTCTAGCCGTTCTTAGCTAAAAATTTACTGTGTCATTTCTGAGGTCAGAGAGCATATTAATGTGATTTTTTTCTTTTTGCTTTAAAGAGTTGCAATGGTGACATGTTGAAGTTGGAAAAGCAATTCTTTAATGATTTAAACTCTTTCTATAACAATTAAGAAATAATTATCAAAAATCTTAGATGGCTTATAATGTTTAATAACTATGTAGGGAGAAATGAATAGTTTACAGCATAAGAAAACGTGATCAGTTTTGTTAGTCACATTCCTAAATAATTCCCATCTCATATGACATTAGAAAATTATATTGAAACATCAAATGACATTTGGAAGAAAAGCAAGTTAAAAAAAAAAAAACCCAAACTTTAAGAATAATGAGAATTTGCTGTCTCATCTTGGTTTTCCCCTGATTTTAGTTTGGTAAAATGGAAAAACTAGCAAGGAATTTGTTCCTTGTGTTTTAAGCAAATTATGATATTAGTTCTTGATAATTCCACTTCTCTTAACACCAGTAATGCCCAAAGGGAAGGCCATTTTCTGGTTGCTCCATACAGAGCATGAAACCAAGGGTTTGCTCTCCTGATAAGAAGTTAAACTAAGAAATGCTGAACCTTAAAGTCATTTCTGGGGCCATACGTCATGACTGACACATGAATATATGAAATTTTCTTTGTTGGATTAAATGTTATAAGATGATTGTGCTTTGCCTAGGGGTATGATACCTCATTTCTGCCTGTAACTGTAGGGGAGGTTGGGCAGTGGTAAAGAAATGTTCCCTAATGTAGGCAGAGAGCGTGGTATCCCTTTTAGTCCTCACAGCGATACTCAGAATACTGAGCTCACTAATGTATCTCACCTGTGAACATACAGCTACTAAGTGGTAAAACTTTCAGGATTCAGGCCCATAGCCATGCTCTTGACACCATACGCTTCAGCGACCTTCAATAGACCCTTTAACCTCCTGTATTCTAGGTGCTGCTTTTAAAAAGCTGTCCTTAAGTCATAACATTTTTGGTTTGTGATGAGTTAGCGGTAATTATTTGTTAATTATTGTTGTATTATGCATCATGGCAGGTGCATAGCCTACTGTTGTCACGATTCAGTGGTGGCTGGTATTTCTTTATAAAGTTTCTTCATAGCATGAAGCTGAAGCTTCCACTGGAGACCCAAGGACGATACAGAGTTTTAAGCCATGGTTTTTTCCATATTTTTCTACTCAGTGCAGTTGTGCATACTTACAGATGGGCATCCTTTACACTTGCTCTGGAAGACCTGCCCCACAATGGAAATGGCCGTGTACTTTGAATCAACTGCTTTAATTACGGCTGCCACTTGCTTTCCAGGCATCAGTCTTGGTCCTGCTTCAGTCGTCTTCAGCTCTAATTTCTGCCTGCATAAGCGCAGAAGAGAAATTTCATATTACCAGCATTCTTTTGAGTAAACAGATACTAGTTGCCATTCTTTTGGCAAACAAGATACTAATTCATTCAAGTTGTGTAAGACCATATTTTTCAAACTGGTCTATCTCAAGAGCTACCTGTGGTCTCAAGATAATTATGCTGTCTTTCTGGAACAACAGTTTAATTCAAAGATTTGGAATGGTAAATCTGGATTTCTGAAGTATATGAAAAGAGAATACAGGGAAGAAAATTTTCCTGGATGCTGAACAAGATATGTGGCAACAGCTCTTTCTAATTTAGCCCAGTTTTCTGAAAATAATGTCCTCAGTGCAACACATGTCACTCATTAACCAAAGCAGTTAGGAAATCTTCTTTTCCAAAAATAATCTCAACAATATTTTTGTCCCACATGCTCTTCTTGAGCCTTGTCACTCTCCCATCAATAGGTAGAGTCTATGTCCCTGTCCTTGAACATGGGCAGGACTTTGTGACTGTTCTGACTAATGGACGTGACACTATGTGGTTTCCAAAGCTAGGTCATAAAAGAGAATTCAGCTTTCATCTGGCACACTATCAGCATACATGCCTTTGGAGCCTTGAGCTGCCACATGAGAAATCTGGCTACCTGAAGCTTCTATGCCAAGAGGCCACATGGAGACAAAGAGATGCGTGAGGAGCCTCACTTGTTTGAGTGCTCCCAGCCCAGGCACCAGATAGGTGAGGGAGCAACCCTCACATAATTTCAGCTCTGGCCAGCGATCGTCTGCAACCATCTAATAGACACCAAGCAGAGCATGCCTAGCGGGGCCAAGTCATACCCCAGAATTATAAGAGAGAATAATAAAATGATTTCTGTTGTTTCATACCATTAAATTTGAGGTGGTTTGTTACGCAGCAATGGAAAATTGACAGACCTGATAAGTAATTAAGACTATGTATTTTATATGAAAATAATACAGATATAATATAGAGTAGAATGTAAAATTCTACTCCATATGAGACTTCAATAAAATTTCTAGCGTTTGTGGCATGGGGCAATCTACCAAGATTTTGCATCCATTCACCTTTGACATTAGGGCTACTTCAGAGGAAACATTTTAGAAGCAATGGCATAATTTGGCAACACTTAATGCTAGAAGTTTTTTCTTTCCTGAATTAAAATCTAAAAATAGCACATACTCTTATATTTGAAACTCTAATTCTTATATCCTGTGACAACTATTCTGACCAGAGAAATTTTCTCAAATTGAAATAACAGCCTTAAATATTTGTGTTATAAGTCACATTTAAAAAAAATTCTGTCACATTTCTTTATTAAGGAACTTTTTGTGTATTTTGTTAAAAAATAATCACACAAATGCCATCATTTTTTAACCTTAACATTGAAAACATTTGACAGAGAAATTTGAAAATAAACTAAAATGAATTAACTAGTTTGGCTTTTTAAAATTTAAATTATATTCAATAAACAATTGATTTTCAATGAAATTCTATTTTTTAAAAAAGTTATTAGGTGTTTACTATGTGCTAGGGTTATTATAAATGATGTGAAAAATGAAGATCAAAAAGATGTAATTACTGTTTTCAAGGAGCTAACAATAGAAATGAGGAAGCACTCATACGGATATGAAAATATATTAAAGAATGGCAAAGAAAAGCAAAATTTTAGCATTATCTTACTTTGAAACTATTTTGCCTGTAACAGTTCGTAGGAAATTCAGTCCAAACGTGTGTATCTCTTCTGCAGTCAAAGCTATAACAAAGCTATCTTCTATTTTATAGGTAGCAAGAGATGTTGCTTTCGAACTGACACCCAAGACCTACATAAGAAAGCAAATAAATAAATAATAAATAATTATTTGTAACAAGTAATCAGTTTTTTTTTTGAATCAAGCTAAATAACACACTTTTAATCTTCTCAAATCCTCTCCCGTGACACACACCTACAACATATTTAAATAACAATCTATTCATTTTATTCGTGTGAAACTAGAGCCTGAACTAAAAATTAGCTGCTCCCAAATAATATTTTATTACCTTATTCTTCCATTATTTTAAATAAATCTCTAGAAAATGTAATTATTTGAATGTCTCAAAGAATGTGATATTGTTTATACCTGATTTTGGGTAGTAAATCCAGATCTTGATATTTTGCATGAATCCAAGGCCTTGATTTTGGTCACTTTGTCTTGATGAGCTTGGTAGGTCACTTTACAGTCCCCAGAGATATCTACCTAAGAAAAAAAGTAAGAACATAATGTTTGGGACTCCCTTGCGGGCCATTTGAATTCTAATGGGAAGTGGCTTGAAAACAGGAAATGTCACAGGGAACAGCCTTTTTTTCTAGGTTGACCAGATAAAAAGACAGGAAAAATTCGGTATGTTTCTGTAGCATATAGATTTTCTTTTCCATTCTCTTTGGTTGAGTCTTACTAGTACCTTCTTACTGTCCCCAGAATAACACAGGATTTCCTGCTTCTCTCTAATGTCCAATAAGAGTTGGACAAATGACTTGGTCATAACTGAAACCTCTGGTAAGTTGTGATCATGCGGCAAGGGGAGTTTACTTCCAATGTGGAATTTAGGCTGCGTGTGTGTGTGTGTGTGTGTGTGTGTGTGTTTACCTTTGACTAAGTGAGTATGATTAGAAATTCTTAGAAAATGGTGGAATTAATTCAACTCATTATTAATCACACCAACAAGATGAGTTTGGCAAACATCTCAGTACAGAGCGCAGACACTGTTTAACTTCTCTGAGCTTTCCCTCAGACCTCTGCGAGCACCACACCCAGCCTCTGTTCTAGCAACCTAACCAACATTCCCTTGGCCCAGCTCTGTGGGAAGATTTTCTCACCCACTCATGAATTCAGACTACGAAACGTGGACTCTAGCCTCAGATTTGCCCTTGACTACAGGTGTGATACTGGGTGACCCTCTTAACTCCTCTAGTTTAACCCCAGTTTCTTTATCTGTAAAATAAAAGGAGCTGGTGTAAACCAATGGTTCCCCAAACTGACAATAGATGCCAATTATCCAAGAAGACTGTCAAAATACAGACACTCAGGCCCTCACTAATCTACTGAATTGGAATCTCTGGGGGTGAGTCCAAAGAATTTACATTCTTAATAAGCTCCTCGTGGAAGAGTGGTGCATAGTGATGAATGGGAACATTGGAATAATCCCCAAGGTTTTCTGCATCTCTAACATCCAGTTATTCTATAAGTCCCCCTTAGTATAACTGATTCAAATCTCCTTAGTTTGTATTCAAGTAATAAAATGTTGGAATAAATAGTAATTACTTCATTTGTAAATGAAACTTGACCACCCAACTCACTTTTTCAGATGATTGCCCTGGTAGTAACTCTTTCACTGAACAAATAAAAATCCATATAAACAATCTTGGTTCCCCTATTGTTAAAGAAGATGTTAGGTGCTGTCCAGTCTATTTTGACTCATAGTGACCCCATGTGACAGAGAAGAATTGCCCCATAGGGTTTTCTAAGCTATGTCCTTCTACTGCAGAGCAGTTGGGTGGGTTCAAACTGCCAACTTTTCTGTTAGCAGCTGAGCACTTAACCTTTGCGCCACCAGTGCTCCTTGTTAAAGAAGATGCTGAATCATTAATAATAGTAAGTACCTCATTGGTGGTTCCAGAGCTTAACTGCATCTGAAATAGGCTAGCCAGGCCTCTCTTGAGATTTTCTATGGCCACTGGCTCATTTTGATAGGAGTAGAACTCTTTGACCTAGGAGAAAAGAGGAAAAACACAAATGAAGCAAAAATATGTCATTTATCAGATTGGGTTAAATAAGTGGTGGAAAAGGTCAGATTCTCACTCCTATTAATTCTGGGAGGAAGAGTTCTGCTATTCCAAAGCTGGGATTTCTTTTTCTGAAAAGAAGCAATTTAGATGTCTAAGAAACTAGACCATCAGAATATGAAATTTAAGGAGACTGATAATAGAGGCTGTGAACATGGTGGGTACAGTATAGGGAAGGGAACAGAGCACTGAGATAAGCTGGGATTTCTGTGAAAGCAAGAAGGACCGCCCCAAAATGGGAAATGAGGACCCTTCTTTTGGAACATGTCAACATGTTAATCTGTAAACCTGCTTGAAACAAAAACTAGCCAAAGTTTAAAATAACAGCAAAGAAAAAGGTCTTGGAAGAAAATGGCAACCACCAGCCTTGAGACTCGAGAGCTGGCACAGCTTACAAAGGCTCTGACAAAGGCCTAGGCATGACCATATGTCTGTGGACAAAATTCCACATGGCTGACGTTTTCTTGCCCTCAACGTGAGCAGTCATATTGGCCTTGGTTACAAGGAGATACAGAAGGTTGGAAGATTTGCGGTGGAGATTGCTACCATTTCACCACCTGCCCCAAGCACTGCTTTGAGGTTCCTTTTCAAAATCAAGGAATAGAGGTTGAAATGAGGAGGGTAACTGTGATTTGGCAGCAATAGGGAAGTAAATAGCTCGTCTTAACTTAGTTTCATCCTTGATATTTACAGGCACAGGAATAAGAACACCATTTTGATAACTTAGCTCATGTTTAAGGATAGAAGTACAAAGAGAATTTTCTAGAAAGCAACCTGCTGTTTTTCACTTTGTATTAACTCCAAATATATCACACAAATTAGAAATAGAACAAGATTGATACCATCAGTGTAAAAATTTCCAAGGTCTATGATAATTATAGCTGAGCATTTCTATCGGAAATATTCCGTCTTCCTATTCCTCTTTAAAACCAACCATGATGACTCAAGGTGAAACAGGAAGCTGGGTAATTATCCGGACTCAATAACCAATCTGAATAAAACTCATGTCTCAGAAACAGAAAATATTTTGCCTGAATTATCCAAATAACTGCCTCAAATTCCTATTTTTACTTTTGACTTACACTCTGCCGGGTGACATATTTGCTAGATACCTTAACTGGCAATCCATTTTAGTCATTGCACTAGATGAATCTATAAATGTTGGAATGGTGTTTGTCCCGGTTAAAAAGGAACTGTAATAGTGACCTCAGCGTCTGAATATCCATGGTATCATATTCTCAAACAAATCATTGGCAATTACTCAGACCCAAGCCTGAGTTTTTTATGTTCTGTTTTGTAAACTGGGTCTTCTTTGGTAATCATAGTGCCACTTCCTTTTCAAAATATTTGGTGGTATGATATCTCCAGAATTACAGTCACTATTACTAGCTGTCATTGAGTTGATTTCAACTTATGGCGAGCCCGTGCGTGTCAGAGTAGAACTGTGCTTCACAGGGTTTCCAATGGCTGATATTTTGGAAGGAGATCAACAGACGTTTCTTCCGAGGTACCTCTGGGTGGATTTGAACCTCCAACCTTTTGGTTAGCAGCTGAGCACATTAGCCATTTGCGCCATCCAGGAATTCCACAGTGACTATTAGAGGTTCGTAACTGGGTTGCTTGAGCTTGGAAACAGAATTGCTCAATGGTGGCAAAATGCACTCATGCCCATGGCCCAGGCTTCCTTGGCCTGAGTTTTAAAACACTTTTGAAAGCAAGAGGTACTATTAGGTGGGAAAAACACCCATAGTATCATCCTTACCCCCACTTCCAGTCTACAAAATGTGTCTGTACTACTGAGAAAGTTTTACATAAAATTTCAGGAAACCCAGGTCTCAGATTTAGTCTGGATCATACATAAGGTCAAGCGTTCTTCAACTACTGGATCACTAAGGAAAAGATGTTAGAGACTTTTTTTCTTCCCCTGGCAGTCTAAACAATGTAAACTGTGAGACAAAAAGAGAAACTGTATTTTTTTTTTTTTCTTCATTCTTTCTATTAGCATTTATTGTTACTCTAGCATAAAGAAGTGGATGCTTCTCTTTGTCATTTTTATCACGGCTACCTCTGGGGCTTAATTTCTTTCTTTTGTGCCGACCAACAAGATCGAAAGTAGATCTCCTATTAGCTTGGTTTCCAAACTGTCTTAGAATTAAGCTGGCTTGCAATTAAAAGAAGAAGAAAGTCAGAACTTTGCAGTTCAGTCCACATGGCTGTCACAGCAATAATCTTAAATTCATTATTTCACAACAGGAACTGAGTAAGCTTTATTATATCCAGCCATAGAGCTGATTACTTCATTCAGTATTGAAACGAGTTCTGAACATCTGAGAGCACAGGGCTCTTATCTGAATTCACAGCCCCCAGTGCCTCCAGGGAGCTGCAGCTGGTGCAACCTGGTCACAAACGAAAACTTTTAACCCAAGGAAACCATGCAGAGGGGGATGAGAAGATTGTGGGGAAGGAGAAGCAGTGCGTCTTCCACTCAAATTTCAAGGCCCATTTCCCCTTGAAGTCAGTAAGCATCATTCATCGTGTTTCACCAGGAAGACTATGCCTCTCTCTATGCTGTTGTTGTTAGGTGTTGTTGAGACGATATACATAGCGATCCAATCCACAACAAAACGAAACACTACCGGCTCTGGAGCCATCTTCTGAGTCGTTGCTATGTTTGAGCCCATTGTTGCAGTCACTGTGTCAATCCATCTCGTCAAGGGTCTTCCTCTTTTTCGCTGACCCTCTGCATGATGTCCTTCTCCAGGGACTGATAATATGTCCAAAGTACTTGGGATGAAGTCTCGCCCTCCTCGTTTCTAAGGAGCATTCTGGCTGTACTTCTTCTCAGACACATTTGTTTGTTCTTCTGGCAGTCTATGGCATATTCTTCACCAACATCATAATTCAAAGGCATCAATTCTTCTTCAGTCCTCCTTATTCCTTGTCCAGCTTTCATATGCGTATGAGGCGATTGAAAATACCATGGCTTGAGTCAGGCGCACTTTAGTCCTCAAAGTGACATCTTTGCTTTTTAACACTTTAAAGAGATCTTTTGCAACAGATTTGCCCAATGCAATACATCCTTTGATTTCTTGACTGCTGCTTCCATGGGTATTGATTATGGATCCAAGTAAAATGAAATCTTTGATAACTTCAGGGATTTCTATAGATTCCATTAATTTGTATATATTTTTTAAGAATAAGAGGAGGCAAAATTCCATCAACTGGCCAAACAGTACAGTTAAACAGAAAGGATGCCAGAAAACAGGGATTAGTCATGCTATCTGTTCTACTTAGATGGAACTATGTCACAAAATGTATCTTCAGTATGCATCTAAGACAGGGCGTAGCTAGGAAATGACACGTTGGAAAACAAACAAGGAAACAGAGGAGAAATTAGAAGGCTTTCAAGGTGTCACATTTCTTTTGGAGACTCAGTGTGTGTACAGTCACTCTGCCAGATTCATAGAGGAAGTCAATGCCTAGAAACAACAGAAAATACATGGCATGCTCAGTTGCCAGGTGGTTAATTTAATCATAGCAGTCAGTGAAAATCAGAAATGGAAATCTAGTAATTATCCACTTAATTTCTAGCCTTAATTTAAGGCTAGAAAAGAATCCACACTATAGCTTGGGGCATCTTTCGCTTATCAATGTTAATCAACTTAACCAGATAACTGTCCTGTTCCCAACTTGGTTTATGATTTGTAGATAAAACTAAAGAGTCATGCTCAAACACTTATGTTGGGAAGATGATAAGGCATGGAAAAAAGAAGCTGTGTAATGAATATGCATCTATGTATTTTGAGGGGCACTCGTTTGTAATGCAAATATGGGAGCTTAAAATGGGGTCTTTGGAGAGAGGAAAAAATATATACTGAGGAGCATCCTTGAAATCACAGAAATTTCTGGGAGTAAAACTAAATTAGAGCTTGGGGTAGGGGTAGAAAACACCTCTAAGAAAATTGCTGATCAGCGGTTTAGCCAGTCTTCTAGCAATTTCTCACAGTAAACTGAAATTATAGTTAAGTAATGCGCTTTCTGACACTGATGTGACTGAAACTTCCACGTGATTTCTTAGTCTCCAGGGTCATTTTTTACCTACAAGTATTTTATCATGTAAGTGAACGACATCACAATGTACTTTAGCCTGTGGCCATGGTAAATCACCACAGCTCTAGAACTGACATGTTGCAGTCACTGCAATGATGTGGCAGCTCCATGTCAGCCTTTGAACAGTGAGAGCACTGTGTCCTTTAACATGTGTGACGAAAGACCTTGTACTCAGCTGTTACCCAAGGAGCTATAAAGTAGTTGGTTGTCGTTAAGATTATAAATGCAATCAGTATTTTATGGTCACAGTGTCTCACTACACTGGAAGCCCAGAGAAGAAAATAGTAGTTTTTAATGTTGTTAACAAAGCTGTACCATATACAAGTAAAGTGAGTTAACAGACATCGTGAAGAATGAAATAAGGAATACTACAACTCAACCAAAATGGCAGGTATTTTCCTAAATACTTTCCAGCTAGAAGACAGCATAACATGGAGGTTTTGAGCATGGACTCTGAAATTAGAACCTCTGTTTCAAATCCTGGAGCCCTGGTGGCTCAGTGGTTGACAGCTCAGCTGCTAACCAAAAGGTCGGCAGTTCGAATCCACCAGCCACTCCCTGGAAACCCTATGGGGCAGTTCTACTCTGTCCTATAGGGTCGCTATAAGTCAGAAATGACTCGACAGCAATGGGTTTGGGTTTTGGTTTTGTTTCAAATCCAAGCTCCATCACTTGCTACTTGTCTAATCCTAGGCAAGCTTCTTAACTTCTCTTAACTTTGATTTCCTTGTCTATTATAAGAGGATGATAAAACAATACCTGCTTCTTAGGGCTGTTATGAAAGAAAAGACATAATTCATGTAATGCTTTCAGTCACAGCCTGGCACGTAGTAAGTGCCAAGTAAGTTTTAGCTATTATTAAGCAACAATAAGCAAACCCTTTCTCAAAGTCCAACTCATTTTAGCCTCGTATAACCTTATTAGTTCATTTATTTATTTTACAAAACATTCCAATTATAACAAGCTGCTGAATATACAGCGATAAAGACACAATTGCTGCCCAGAAAAAGCTTACTCTGAATGGGAATGGCTACAAATAGGAGTATAATACACTGTGATAAAGGCTCCACAGAAATAAGCCCCGGGGACTATGAGGTTAGGGAAGATGTTGGGAAAGTCTTCACTGGAATACCAGGTCAGCCAGTGCAAGACATGGTTCTGGGTTCTATGGGGAGAGAGGGAGTGGAAGAGGGTGGAGGGAGGGGTGCCAGGATGGAATATAAAGAGGAAACTTTCTCTACCAAAACCACAATCAAGCAATGAACACAAATGACCAAAAGGAAAGTGATAAGGGCCTTGAGTGAACTGCAAAGGGCTTGGAGAGTTCTAAAGAGGGATTGTTATTTCCAGCTGAACAGAATGGTGCAAAATTCATAAAAGAAAGGGCCTATGAGCAAAGCCTGAAGCATGGTGAATATTTTGACAAGTGTCAAAGGAAGAGAAAGCATTCCTGAAGTTGGTGATTCATATTTGATTGTGGGAGGCATGAGGACACAAGATCCTTCCTTGTGAGTCCCTTTTTAATGCTTTATTAAAATGTGCATCATGAAGAGCAAGATATCAGAGCCCTAGTGGCACAGTGGTTAAGAGCTCAGGCTGCTAACCAAAAGGTCAGCAGTTCAAATCCACCAGCTGCTCTTTGGAAACCGTATGGGGCAGTTCTACTCTGCCCTATAAGGTTGCTATGAGTCTCAATCAACTATATTAGATGTCTGAAATACATATTTTAAAGTATTTATTTTCATCCTTTATTTTAAATCTTAACTGAAAGCTTAATTTTAGAAATGTACAGATCCCTTTCTGTTCCTCTACTGTGGTTCCTAAAATTGAGCTCTTGTTTTTACTGATGAACTTTTGTATATGTCAGTACAATATGTGTATTTTTATTAACCCAGATATGTAATGCCTAATAACTCACTGGACATTACTGCTTTTCAATTGCAAATACATTAAGACTATTTTAATAGACTAGGATCAAAACATAAGTAATGCACCCTTAAAGAATTTTATGAGCAGATTTCCAAATGGATATGAGGGTCCATTCACTACTTTAATATATACAGTGATTTTCAAAGTTGTATAGTTTTTTAATAATCTAAACACTTGTCATGGATTGAATTGTGTCCCCCAAAAATATATGTATCAATTTGGCTAGGCCATGATTCCCAGTATTGTGCAATTGTCCACCATTTTCTCATCTGATGTGATTTTCCTATGTGTTATAAATCCTATCTCTATAAGGTTAATGAGATGGGATTAGTGACAGATGTTAACGAGGCAGGACTCAATCTACAAGATTAGATTGTGTTTTAAACCAATCTCTTTTGAAATATAAAAGAGAGAGGCTAGCAGAGAGACATGGGAACCTCATACCACCAAGAAAGTAGTGCCAGGAGCCGAATGCATCCTTTGGACCCAGAGTTCCTACTCAGAGAAGCTCCTAGACCAAAGAACAATTGATGACAAACACTTTTCTACAGAGCCAACAGAGAGAGAAAGTCTTCTCCTGGAGCTGGTGCCCTACTAGACTGTGAGAGAGTAAATTTCTATTTGATAAGGTCATCCACTTGTGGTATTTCTGTTATAGCAGCTCTAGATACCTAATACAATACAATACAATACAATACAATACAATACTTTTCTAAAAACTCAACTCTATCTTAGAAATGTCACACCCTTTCCAAGGTCTTAACCTTGTAGTTTAGTCAGACATTGATAATCTTGAGATCAGTTGCTATCAATCTAAGTTACATCTTTCTTTCTCATGATTTGTCTGCTTTCCTGGATTTATGAAATCATGCTGCAAGGATTTGCTGTATTATACTATTTTAATAATCCCTTCTAATTTGATACAGAATGCACGTTTAACAATGCCTATCATCAGTAAATAAATACTTCAATCTACTACAAAGGTTTGCATAAAAATAGAAAACATAAATGGCTAGAAAATGTAAGGGAATTCACTATTTTTATTTACTTCTGAAACATTTAATATGCAACTTCTGTTTATTAGTTCTTGGAAAAAAATCCAGTTAGCATGACTACATCACCACCTTAAAATAATATCTACTGGAAGAAAGAAAAATAAGAAGTTGGAGAAATAAGAATGCAGGACCCCAACAATCACATTTACCTTTCCATGCATTAAATGAAGGAGCACAGGTCTTTGCAGAGCTTCCAAGTTTTCCTTTCCTATGATTTTGAGTGTATTTTTTCCCGTGAAGATGCTCTTCTGTCCCCTCTGCTGATTGACATTTTCCACATTTACATCGTTTATCTGGAGTCATGGAAAGAAACCTATTAGAAAAATTTCCCATGTCTGTTTCCATAGAAGTCTCTTAGAAAATAAACTGGTAAAGGAATAGACAGGGTGAGCCTATAATTTTTTTCTGTCATTTTTCTATCCATGCTTCCAAGGACCTAGCCATTAACCTTAAAAGAATGGAGAAGATATTCAAAAGTTAAATATCTGAACTAGGTAAAAATACTGATACTTAAGGAAATCTGTGACTTCAGGCTTCCAATAACTGTGACTTGGATATTTCTGTTCTGAGTCACTGTCTCTCTCTGCATTCATTCTGATCTGTTATTATCTGCCTGATCTTCTCTTCACTATCTGTACCATTTATCTGGAAAGAATCTTGCCCCATTCTACTTCATCTATATATATAAAGTTAAAAATAACCGGTCTAATTATTGAACAAAGGGGAACACAATGTTTTCTGTAGAATGGTTTACTCTTCTATTGAAAAATGACTCAGAGAGATAGATGATGAAGTTTTGATCCAACTTGAAAGATATGATAACTATTAGAGACATCCAGAGAAGCAAAGATTACTTGGTAGATGTATTGCAATAACACCTCACTAGCAATTCTAATTCACCAATTACTCCTTGGAAACTCTATGGGGCAGTTCTGCTCTGACCTATAGTGTTGCTATGAGTCAGAATCAACTCGACGGCAACGGATTTGTTTGGTTTTGGTATAAATATACACATTGGTTACAATACAGCACATCTTACTCCAAGTACTTGGTCTTGCGTTCCTGTTTCATACTAATATGCAGAATAACCAACTTTACTGAAGGATCTATTGCCTTTAGATTCTTGAAAATCAAATATGGAATCATGATATCTTAAAGCTGGAAGAGATCCCAGAGGCCACCAAATTCAACCTTGTTTCTCAACACATAAATTCTAAACCAGTGACCAACGAAACACTTCCAGTTGAGGGTGGGCCTGGTTCCTTCTTCAAGATGAATACAGAGCAGGTTTACTCCCTTATTGATAATTGCACATGTTATATCAAAGAACTCAGTCATCTCTTAATTTTGTCTCCTTTTTCAATTAGAGTTGGCTCAATTGTTTTTCCTATAACATGGATTCTAGACTCCTCACTCACTCCTAGAACACTTTGAGTGGATTCTAGTTTAATGTTTCTATTTATACAACATGTAGAACTGGATATTATATTCCAATTACCAGGGATGGATTATCCAATAAGCAAGGTACTCACTTACTTACTTGTGCTTTCTTACTAATCTGCAGCGCACAATTTCACCTGTTTTTCATCATATCAAAGATGTAGTGAAACCCATGTGAAATTGTGCACTACTTGTTAGTAAGTAAACACAATTAAGCCCATGCATACCTTGCTTACTGTAAGGCTGTGCGTACTCTGCTTACTGGTTAATCCTATCCTGCCAATTGTTGTTATTGTTAGATGCCATCAAGTCAGTTCTGACTCATAGCGACCCTATGCGCCACAGAACGGAAGAGTGCCCGGTCCTGTGCCATGCTCACAATCATTGTTATTCTTGAGCCCATTGTCACAGCTACTGTGTCAATTCATCTCGTCAAGGGTCTTCCTGTTTTTCACTGACCCTCTACTTTACCAAGCATGATGTCCTTCTCCAGGGACTGATCCCCCCTGATAACATGTCCAAAGTATGTAAGATGTAGTCTCGCCATCCTTCCTCCTAAGGAGCATGCTGGTTGTACTTCTTCCAAGACAGATTTGTTCATTCTTTTGGCAGTCCATGGTATATTCAATGTTCTTCATCAACACGAATTCTTCTTCGGTCCTCCTTATTCATTATTCAGCTTTCACATGCATATGATGTGATTGAAAATACCATGGCTTGGGTGAGGCACACCTTAGATTCAAGGTGACATCTTTGTTTTTCAACACTTTAAAGAGGTCTTTTGCAGCAGATTTGCCCAATGCAATGTGTCTTTTGATTTCCTGACTGCTGCTTCCATGGGTATTGATGGTGGAGCTAAGTAAAATGGACAACTTCATTATTTTCTGTTTATCATTATGTTGCTTATTGGTCCAGTTGTGAGGATTTTTGTTTTCTTTATGTTGAGGTGTAATCCATACTGAAGGCTATGGTCTTTGATCTTCAGCAGTAAGTGCTTCAAGTCCTCTTCACTTTCAGCAAACAAGGTTGTGTCATCTGCATATCACCGGTTGTCAACAAGTCTTCCTCCAATCCTGATGCCCCATTCTTCTTCATATAGTCCAGCTTCTCAAATTATTTGCTCAGCATATAGATTGAATAGGTATGGTGAAAGGATACAACCCTGACGCACACCTTTCCTGACTTTAAACCACGCAGTATCCCCTTGTTCTGTCCAAACAACTGCTTCCTGATCTGTGTACAGGTTCCACATGAGCACAATTAAGTGTTCTGGAATTCCCATTCTTCACTATGTTATCCCTAATTTGTTATGATCCACACAATCGAATGCCTTTGCATAGTCAATAAAACACAGGTAAACATCTTTCTGGTATTCTCTGCTTTCAGCCAGGATCCATCTGAAATCAGCAATGATATCTCTGGTTCCACGTCCTTTTCTGAATCCAGCCTGAATTTCTGGCAGTTCCTGTCGACATACTGCTGCAGCCACTTTTGAATGATCTTCAGCAAAATTTTACTAGTGTGTGATATTAATGATACTGTTAGATAATTTCCACATTCAGTTGGATCACCTTTCTTGGGAATAGGCATAAATATGGATCTCTTCCAGTCGGTTGGCCAGGTAGCTGTCTTCCAAATTTCTTGGCATAGACGAGCAAGCACTTCCAGCGCTGCATCTGTTTGTTGAAACATCTCAGTTGGTATTCTGTCAATTCCTGGAGGCTTGTTTTTCAACATTGCCTTCAGTGCAGCTTGGACTTCCTCTGTCAGTACCATCCATTTCTGATCGTATGCTACCTCTTGAAATGGTTGAACATTGACCAATTCTTTTTGGTATAATGACCCTGTGTATTCCTTCCCTATACTTTTTACGTTTCCTGCATCGTTTAATATTTTCCCCATAAAATCCTTCACTATGCAGCTTGAGGCTTGAATTTTTTCTTCAGTTCTTTCAGCTTGAGGAATGCCAAGTGTGTTCTTCCCTTTGGTTTTTCTATCACCTCCAGCTCTTTCCACATGTCGTTATAATACTTTACTTTGTCTTCTCCAGCCATCCTTTGAAATCTTCAATTCTTTTACTTCATCATTTCTTCCTTTTGCTTTAGCTACTTAATGTTCAAGAGCAAGTTTCAGAGTCTCTTCTGACATTCATTTTGGTCTTTTCTTTCTTTCCTGTCTTTTTAATGACTACTTGCTTCTTCATGTATGATGTTTTTGATGTCATTCCAGAACTCTTCGGGTCTTTTGTCATTAGTGTTCACCTTATCAAATCTATTCTTGAAATGGTCTCTAAATTCAGGTGGGATATACTCAAGGTTGTACTTTGGCTCTCATCGACTTGTTCTAATTTTCTTCAGTTTCAACTTGAACTTGCACATGAGGAACTGACGGTCTATTCCTCAGTCAGCCCCTGGTCTTGTTCTGACTGATGATATTGAGCTTTTCCATCGTCTCTTTCCACAGATGCAGTCGATGTGATTCCTGTGTATTCCATCTGGTGAGGTTCATGTGTATAGTCACCGTTTATGTTGGTGAAAACAGGCATATGCAATGAAGAAGTCATTGGTCTTGCAAAATTCTGTCATGAGATCTCCAGCATCATTTCTATCACCAAGGCTTTATTTTCCAACTACCAATTCTTCTTCTTTGCTTTCAACTTTTGCATTCCCATCACCAGTAATTATCAATGCATCCTGATTGCATGTTCGATCAATTTCAGACTGAAGAAGTTGGTAAAAATTTTCAATTTCTTCATCTTTGGTCTTAGCGGTTGGTGCGTAAATTTGAATAATAGTCGTATTAACTGGTCTTCCGTGTAGGCGTTTGGATATTATCTTATCACTGACAGCATTGTACTTCAGGATAGGTCTTAAAATGTTCTTTTTGCTGATGAATGCAACACCATTCCTCTTCAAGTTGTCATTCCTGGCATAGTAGACCATACAGTGTCCAATTCAAAATGGCCAATACCAGTCCATTTCAGCTCACTAATCCCTAGGATATTGATGTTTATGCATTCCATTTCATTTTTGACGATTTCCAATTTTCCTAGATTCGTACTTCATACATTCCACGTTCCTATTATTAATGGATGTTTCTAGCTGTTTCTTCTCATTCTGGGTCGTGCCATATCAGCAAATGAAGGTCCTGAAAGCTTGACTCCATCCATGTCATTAAAGATGACTCACTTTGAGGAGGCAGCTTTTTTCCAGTTGTCTTTTGAGTGCCTTCCAACCTGGGGGGCTCATCTTCCGGTACTATATTAGACAATGTTCCACTGCTATTCATAAAGTTTTCACTGGCTAATTTTTTTCAAAAGTAGATTGCGGGGTCCTTCTTCCTAGTCTGTCTTAGTCTGGAAGCTCAGCTGAAACCTGTCCACCATGGGTGACCCTGCTGGTATCTGAATACTGGTGGCATAGCAGCAACACGCAAGCCTCCACAGTCCAGCAAACTGACAGACATGTGGGGGCACTACCAATTACTTACCAGTATATGCTATCTTCTAAGATTTAAAAAGATTAGAGCACTTTTGATTAGCAAAAGCTAAAATTGTAAATGTACTGATTTTAGTGATAGGTAACAAACCAAATAGGCATACAGCCAAGAGCACAAAACAAGTGATGTTGAGTGATACACTTCTCAAAGACTTTGCTGACGTTGAATGTTTGCATCTTTCTGGTGAAAAATGCCCACCATGATTTTGATTAGTTGGTCATCGTCACCATCAGGATTCCTCCACAATAAGGCAACATCCACATTGGATGAAATTCGGTATCCCACAGTGTCTTGGAGTTTTCCTTTGCCTCGATCAAGAAAAACTTCAGTGGAGTATGTGAGTTTGTACAGCCGCTCATTGTTTAATGAGAGACCAGTTGTGTGACCTGCAGAAAGATAGTAACACAAGTAAAGTTTTAGTTGTAAGGTATCTTTCTATCAGTGCATTCCTCATTGTCTACCACATTGGTGCCCAGCAGGAGCTTAGTAAATATTTGCTGAATGAAAGAACTAGGCTCTGTTTCAACTTTTCCTTCTGCTGAAATCATTGACTTGAAAAACAAACAAACAAATAATCTCCCATTTCAGAACACTCTAGTTTGTATCCCTAATAATCAAATTATCCATCTAAATATTGCCCTGGCTGAGCTATAGAATTTTTTTAATGCCACTGTATTCTTTTTAGTTATGTGAACATGATTACGTAGTAGAGGTCCTGTCAGGGATTGCTTTATAAAAATAATAAGAACCATTTGTAATTCACATATTATTTAAATGCAAAAAGATGAATGCCAAGGTAATTTTAAAGGTTAGAAGGTAGTCCCTATGCTTAATTTGGTTAAAGGATGTCCCTCCAATGTAATTTACTCCATTAATTTATTTAGCACACTTTTATAACAAAGATATATTTTGGCGCTAGATGTATGTAAATTTAAATTAGCTGTGCCTGGATAAGAGCCCTGGTGGCGCAGTGATTAAGAGCTCAGCTGCTAACCAAAAGTTTGGCAGTTCAAATCCACTAGCCACTCCTTGGAAACCCTGTGGGGCAGTTCTACTCTGTCCTATAGGGTTGCTATGAGTCAGAATCGACTCAGTCATGACGGGTTTAATTTGTTTTTGGTGCCTAGATAGAATGGTGTTTTACCACATAAAATCTTAGCACAGTCTTAAATTTGGCATTGGCACTTTAATACCAAATAATATGCAGTTCAGTATTGTGAGCCAAGAAAATCGATACATGGACTGGGTCATACACTCTCCAATTCGGTTTAACTTATCCCAAAGAAATGTAAAGGAAAGACCAAGTCTTTCCCAGAGATGAAGTTCATGGCATACAAACTCTTTTTGTATATTTTCTATCTATAGCTTTCAAGAGATAGTACAAAAACAATTTCGGTATACATTTTTTCTCAGTGCTAACAGGTTGCATTGTCTAGTTAACTATAATAAAAACAAAAACCAAATTCAACACTGTCAAGTCAATTCTGACTCATAGTTAACTATAATAAGCAACCATAACTTTCTTCCCCTCCTCAGGAAATACGCACATGAAAGGGGGTTGGAATAACTAGGTGGGAAGTAAATTAGTTTGTAAAGCCAAAAAAATTAAGAAACTCTCTGTAATGCCTTTACCATCTACACAGAAACAATCTCCTTCACTATCTCCACCTCCTACTGCAGCATCTACTGCCCAGAGAAAAAAATGATTAGATAGTTAACTCTTCTACATGTTTTACATGTTTTAACTCATTTAATCCTCACAAAAACCTAATGGGGTTAAGTGCTATCATAACTCTTATTTTATAGATGAGGAAACTGAGAGGAGCACAGAGGTTATACAATTTATCAAGGTCACCGAGGTCGTCGGTGGTGGAGCCAGGATTTTCAGTGCAGACTATCTGGCTCTAGAGACCAAGCTCTAACCAGTCCTATAGCCTATTGCCATCAAATTGGTTCTGACTCACAGCAACCCTATAGGACAGTGTAGAACTGCCCAGTAGGGTTTCCAAAGAGAGGCTGGTGGATTCAAACTGCCAACCTTTTGATTAGCAAACGAGCTCTTAGCCACTGCACCACCAGGGTTCTCCTTACCTGTCCTATACTGCTCTAAAACTTTAGATTGAATTCTTTTCCATTCCTAAGCAGTGACTTAAGAATCCATTCATTCATTCAACAAGGATGTACTCAGCACCTACTGGATGGTAGGCATTATTCTTTGCTCTGGGATTATATCCATTAACAAGCAGACAAAATCTCCACACTCAGCGTTTACATTTAAAAGAGGAGAGATAGATGATAGATGTTGGGGAGAAAAAAAAGTAAGTAAGCAAACTATGTAGTATGTTACAAGTGTTAATGAAGAAAAAGAAAACAAAGAAGGGAAATGGCATTGCTGAGAAAAAGGCTTCTGTGAGAAAGTGACATTCTGAGCAAAGGCTTTAGGCTAGCCAACAGGATATTTGTGGGAAGAGCATTCCTGGCAGAGGGAACAGCAAGTGTGAAGGCCCTGAGGAAGTCACGTGCAGGAGTAACGGAGGAAAAGCAAGATGGCCAGAGAGGCTGGAATTGAGTAAATGAGAAGCACAGCAGCAGAAGATGAGGTCAAATAGATACATACAGGCATCAAGAGGTGGGAAGACACTTGTATAGACTTGAGGTTTAACTCTACATGAAATGGGAAGCCACTGGAGAGTTTTGGGTGGTGGAGTGAAATGATATGGCAAGTCTTCCAAAAAGGGATTTAACAGGAATTGAGAAGAACCAGGAGGGGGCAGTGCAGGAGTGGGTATCCAAGTATGTCCACCCAGAAACAGACTGTGCCCAAGCAGCAAATCAGGCAGAATCTAAGAGCTGAGATACAAAAAGCAGAGGTCTGAGAAAACACCTTGAAGAAGATGAAGTCTGTATGTGAATGTTTCCAGCCACCCTTATTTCCACCTTTTTTGCATTTTAGCTGGGGACTCTGCTACAAATTCAAACATTGGATATCTGGCCAGGGAAGATATTTTGTCCAGGAAGGACTTCTTTTTAGGGCACTTCTCAAATTATAAAGGAAATAGGTATTGTCTTATCTAATCCTCACAGCTATCTTGAAAGGTAAGCATTATTATGACATCTGAAGGAAGCTGACTGAATTAGACTCTACGTTCAACCAAATGGCAGCCATGATATGGAATTTGATTTTTAAATTTACTGAAATCCAAGTTTTGTGGACTGCATGAAGACATCCTCCTCTTTTTCTTTTTTTTTTTGTAGAATTTTTTTGGTGAAAATATACGTAACAAAACATACGCCACTTCAACAGTTTCTGCATGTACAATTCAATGACATTGGTTACATTCTTCAAGTTGTGCCATCTTTCTCGACAACCTTTTCCAAGCCATTTCACCATCATTAACACAAATTCATTGCCCCCTAAACTTTTCATGTATCCTTTCAATTTCCTGTTGTCAATTTGATCACATATAGATGGAAGGTGTCTTCTGATGAAAATAAACATGAAAACTTTGGTGGGAAGGTAGCTTTTCTTAAATTCCAAAGCCTTCCAAACTATCATATTGTTCATTTTTCTACTACTTTTACTTTATTAGTCAAAAGAATATGAAAAACAACCATGTAACAGTTCAGCTCTTGATAATCACTTGGAAGTGATAAAGTATAGGAAAGAAGGGCCTTGTTCTCCGATACTGTTTTCCTATCTCTTTCAACAGGACATACAGCCTAACACAGCTCAAATAAATGTATTGTGCTTTAGTGTTGTCCCTGTCATCCTTTCCTTTTTTATAAGTATTTCTCCATTGATGTTATTTAGATCCTGCAACACTAAGAATGGAGGCATAAATTTAACTTAATTCTGTTTCATAAAACCAAAAGAAATTAATTTTAACCAAAAAGAAGTACCTCTTCAATTGCCCTTCAAGTGCATTTAGAATTTTTAACTGACTTAAAAGCAACCATACTCTTAGTTTTGAATCTTTAAGAAATGTCTTAAAATACTCATTGATCAAACTTAGATGAATTCAGTAAACCAACCCACGGCTGTTGAGTTGATTCTGACTCATAGTGACCCTATAGCACACAGTAGAACTGCCCCCATAGGGTTTCCAAGGCTGTCAATCTTTAAGGACGCAAACTGCCTCATCTTTTTCCTAGAGCAGTCAGTGGGTTCGAACTGCCAACCTTTCTGTTAGCAGCTGAGTGCTTTTAACCACTGCATCACCAGGGCTCCCTGATGAATTTAGTAAGTACAGTTAATTGACAAGAAGACAAACCAGAGATAACTAAAGGTGAAGTGTGAAGAGGTGTGCAATTATGATAGGGTGATAGGAAATGGAGCTTAAGAATCCAACAGAAAACTAAGGTCAGAAGTAAGAATAGGACGAAGTTAAAATAAGAAGAGAACTGAAAGGTGATTAATATAAATGGACTGAAAAGTAATGGTAGGGCCAGAAGCTGAGAGAAAGACTAGAAGTGAAAGGATGGTTCAAGTTTAAAGGTGACAAGATTAAATAGAAAGTTTATGTGTGGGCTATCAAAAGTAAAAGTCTACAAAGAAAACTGCAAGAAGGCACTGAGAATAGATGCATCATCATAAAGTATAATTAAGAAAAGGTAGAGAAAACATGGAGGGCAGTGGAAGTCCATTTGCAGAATTCTTGCCTTCCAGCTGAGAGATCCAGGTTCACTTTTCCACCATTGCACCTCAAGCGTAGCTACCACTCGTCTCTCAGTGGAGGCTTGTGTGTTTCTGTGATGCTTAAGAGATTTCAGTGAAGTTTCCAGATTAAGACAGACTAGGAAGAAAAATCTGGTGATCTACTTCCAAAAATCAGCCCCTATGGATCTCAAAGTTCCGATTCCATTATCTATGGACTCTCCATGATTTGGTGGCCTACTCAATGGCAGCTAACAACAGTAGCGAAAACTTGAGTCTTTATAGAGTGTTTAAACTCAGCATATTGCTTCCAAATACTAATTTCAGAATTTGGAATCCTAATCCCTCCTCCATTCTCTTCACAGTCCAATTTGCCCTCACCATTCACCCAGATCTGGGAATTTGCTATATAGGTGCATTGGTAATTTAAATTAGAGATGACTTTTGAGGTGATACATGTGATCTCTAAATTTAGAATGGCCTGATTTTAAGGTAGAGTCTTCACAGTAGTTTGCTAGTTAAATGTCAGTCAGTATAAAGGGCAAGAAGTCTATCATTAAATCTTGACGCTATATAATACAAATGCATATTGGGTCTAGATTGATAGACAGCTGTCAAGTCCTGTACTTTTTATTTATTATATTGGCATAAGTATTTTGTACCCTGGAGCCAACGAAATGTAAGCTTTAGGCCCCCTCACTTGCCCAGGCTCCTTCCAAGACATTGTAAGGGCACCCTAGCAATATATACTCATATCACATCTTTTTTTAGTAAAATTTTCAAAAGTAAGCTGTTTTTATAATCTTTTCTCAAAGACGGGCCCTAAATGGCATAAGCTTCAAGTTCTGATAATTTGGATTTGCCTCTGAACTTGTACACAAAAAACTGCAACTATTTGTCACATTCTAAGACATACTTTTCTGTATGTCATTGCCATGTGTGTGTATGTGTATATATATATATATACATATATATATATACACATACATACACACACTTATAATTATATATATACATAATTCTTTTTTAAAACCTTTATAAATGTATTAATTTGAAAACTTCATGGTATAAGCTTTGCTATTATGTTGTTGAAATCACTCACATTTCAAATTCTCAACAGTTTATTTAACAGATAATAAAATAGCAAGCTCTCCATGAGACAATCCTCAGTCAGATATCAAGTACTCAACAGCATTTAACAACCATAACAAGTAGTTTTTAAAGTTAGACTTCATCATACTAAGTTATATGCTAGAACAATTGTTTCTGACAGTGTTTCTCCTTAAGAGACTCTAAAAAGTGGTCATTTTACAAGGTACAACATTTAGAAATCCAAAAAGTTTATGATACAGCTGATTTTAAACAAGATTTCACTATTAATTCATTTCACAGGGCTTTTCAAAACCATTCTTTGTAAAATATATTTGTGGGTTTTCTGCACGCTTTCTCTGAAGGGTATCAATTCATATCTTTTTAAAATAACTTTATCTTAAACTATAACTAGCAATACTATTTTTTCAAATATCGTATATCTTTTTTCTTAAGTCTGTATCATGTAGTTTTATTTTTTTGAATTGACAAACTATCATAATTCTATCACTTTTGAATGGCAATGGAATTAAATGCATTGTTTTATCATTTCATTCATAATTATTTGGCAAATCAAATGCCTTTTTCATTGAATCTAATTCTTCCTGACGTCACATTGCTAAGCAACCAGAAGGAAATTTAGAAAGTTCTTTTTAATCTTCTTTTACTATTCAAATAAGGGGACAGCATTCAGTGAATGACCAACAGAAATAGGTAACAATAGCTGGCATCTTTTGTTCCCCCTTTTTTAAAAATAGAGCACGAACGGGAAACTGAAGCAAGGAGCACACTGGGCTGAGGAAAACTCAAAGGAATCTCTGTTTCCTTAATGTATGTAAGAATCTGAATTTGGTTTTCATTGCAACGCAGTCATGCCTTCACAAACATCCCTAACGTATGTGGTTTGGAAGATGGTTTAGTTAGGAACTCTTTCCTTATAAACACACACACACACACTTTGTCCCCCAAAGACTGAAATTAAAGTTTAGCAAAAGGCAGCACAAACTTACCTTTAACAGAAGCTGAATATGAGGAAATGAAGCAGAGAAAAAGGACAGCAAGAAGAATCATCTTGACTAGCTACCCTCTTATGCATCCAGTCCCCAGCTAAGAGTCACTGAGAAGTGGACTCTTCAGAAGGCAGTGAGCCTCCTCAGAATCTCCAACAATAATGTTTATCTTTGGGGAAAGGTCAGATTCCAAACTCCAAAATCAGGACCTAAGTTCACTGAAGTGCTCACTGTTAATGATTAAACTTAGGTGGGCTGCAGTTTTCAGTTTCTCACTCTTTTTAATTTTTTTTCACTCATTAAGGAAAATCAAGAAAATTTTCATTTTTGAGAGCTAATCCAAACCAGTCTACCTTACGATAAATGCAGAAGTACTGAGGGACATTTCAAGAAAAACTGATAGCGAGGCTCTTCTGCTGGGTACATAATCACCATTATGCTTATAACTGCCTATTTTCACATTTCACCAATTTATGTGGAAAGGTTATAGGGATTCTCAAGCTCAGCTAAAGTGAATTGAATTTTACTATTTCTTCTATGGTCACGTTTAAACTTTTCATGCTATTTGTATACTGCCACCTTTTGTCTGTCAGTGAGGGCTTGTGTTGCTATGATGCTGAACAGGTTTCAGCAGAGCTTCCAAACTTGGAAGAAAGGCCTGGTGATCTACTGTGGAAAATCAGCCAATGAAAACTCAAAGGATCACAATGATCCAATCCCATTGTGCATGGGGACGCCATGAATCGGGGGCCAGCTCAACAGCAACTAACAGAAATGGATGACTAATTCGTTACCATTACTATGCTAGCGTTTTGGAGCACATTTGGATATACCACAGTAGAACTATCATAGTATACCTCTAGCTATATCTATGACAAGAAACACTTGTCTGAGTCCCCAGACTAGCTAGATGGAGTCTGGTGCTTTATTTGTCCCGTTTCTAGGAAGAGGTGCAGGGGGAAAATCCCAGCCTTCAGAACTTTTGCTACAGAAAATTAATCAGGAAACTTCTCTAGAACTAAAGTGAATACCCTAGTATGCCTGACTGAACCAACTCTTGTCCCTGGAAACTCTTGTGTGAGAGATCTGATATTAAAAAAACCCAGTATAAGAAGACAGCTTGGGGGGCAGGTGGGAATGTTTGGACAATGAAGTGCATAAAGTGTTAGTGAAGGGCTGTTTTCATGTGTTTGAAAACATTTATTGCCATGTTCCAATCTAAAATGAGTTCCTGAATCTACACTGGTTTCTCTCAAAACCCTTTTTCTAGAATCCTAACCTGGATCCTAAATCTTCTAGACAACCCAGATAAAAGATAGCAGACTTGATAGGCAGGGGTACAAAATAAAATATAAAAATCTCCAAAGTTAAGCACATTTCGCCTTGAAATATATTTTTATATAAAGAACTAAAAGATGAAAATTGTCACTATTTTCTATTCAGATTAGAAACTTCATTTGCTATCGTAAGTTTTGTATACAAATCATGGCCAAAGTAGCTAAACAAAAACAAACTGTGTTGCTGAGAATATCACCTTAAAATTCTAAATACTAAATTTTACTAGGGTTAAACTTTTGTTTTCTTTTTTTAGAAAAATACCTTTGTTAGAAGAATATGCAATTTTATGAACAGATGTTGTTGTTGTTGTGTGTCCTCGAGTCAATGCCAACTCATAGTGATCCTATAGGATAGAGTAGAACTACCCCATAGGGTTTCCTAGGCTGTAATCTTTACCGGAGCAGATTGCCAGGTCTTTTCTCCCGCCGAGCAGCTGGTGGGTTCCAACCTCCAACCTTTCGGTTGGCAGCCAAGCACTTAACCATTGCGCAATAAGGGCTCCTTTATGAACAGTAGGCATTATGAATACAAGGTAGTGTGAAAACGTTTTATTCATTTGCTTTTTAACAGATTTCTGTGTGTTCCCACAATTTCTGCATTATATAACAGGAATATGAGCCATTATAGTCACTTAAATCTTACGCACATGTTTATCTAAATCAAAGACTAGTTTGCATCCTGTTTGATTCTGTAAGAATCGTCTTTTGTATTTCTATGTGAGGCTCATAGTTCCATAGACCTTTAACGTTTGTGGTTAGTCTATGTGGTACATGATACGTGTCTCTTCGGGTAAAGTACTATTCGTTGTCAGGTGTTTATCAGAGTCCAACCAATAAAAGACATGTCACTATTGCCTAATAAAACAAATTCTGTTTCACTTGAGCATTTGCTTTCCACTAGAAGGCTCTTATCAGTCACTATATTAAGTAGTTATTTCAGTCTAGGATGTTCAAATAAGGCTGCTTCTGTCAGTAATAAATGACCTGATCATTTTATATTTTACTTGTAACTTTTTCCTTTTACAAAAATATTTGAGAGAAGACATCTTGACCTTGTTTCACCAGAGATAAAATAGAATACCAAGCTCTTTTGCTATTCAGTGAACTCTGTATAACAAAGAGGCATTCTCCTCTTGTTGATTAAGACTTTCTAGAAGCGCAAATTTTTTTTAAAAATGGAGTAGAGCAAACAGTACAATGTATGTGGAAGATATTTCTCAAATCTCACTGGTTCTTTTACATGGCATGTGAAGCAGGGCAGAAGCACAGTTTATACAGTAATAAATAATAAGAGTTACCATCTATGGAACAATTACTCCATGTTAAGCACTTTCCTTTTTTTTCTTTAGTAAATCCTCACAAAAAATCCTCTAACATACTAGAAAAATGAGGCACAGATTAATTAAGTGAAGTAATTTCGGGAATATGTTGTTGTTAGGTGCCATAAAGTCACTTCCAACTCACAGCAACCCTATGTACAACAGAAAGAAACACTGCCTGGTCCTG